GTACGTGGCATCAATTTGAGATGAAGTGGCATTGCAATTGTCTTTGCAAGTCCTCGATGTGGATGCTCTAACTTTGTAAAAGTTGGTTTGGTTAAACATGATTTTTGATTTCATGTGCATCATTTAATTGTTTTATTTAGAAATGTATTGTAAAAACAACATATAAGATCATGGTTATTAAGATTATGTGATCTTAAACAATTTAGATATGGGATCTTAATATCCCACTTAATGGTAATAATATTTTTTTATGCTAAAGTTGTAATCTTTTTAATTATTTTAACAGTCTACAGACTTTAAAAAACAAACAGTCTTTTTCTTGTAGACAACAGACTGCATACATTTTACCTCTTTAAAAACAAACAACACCTAAGTATAGGGACTAAATTCAAACTTCAAATAAGAAACATTAAATTGGATTAGACGAGGTATACGAATATTTAATGTTTGCAAACAAAACTGATAAGCAAAATAATGGATCGTGGATCGTGTATGCATTTAATCTTCGACTTGATTATTTGGGATTTAAATTTCGAAAATTTTGAATTTGGTGCATTTTAGTTTTGTATAGATTTTTAGTTTCCTTTTGTATTAGAGTTATATTTGGTATAATAAAAATTAATTCAAAATTTTTTCTTATTTTCAGGGATATGATATAAATTGAAGATAATTATATTATTGAAGATTATTGAAGATTGAAGATAATTATATGAACATCGAACTTGCACCAAATTCGGCAGCTGAAGTTTACGGATACAAAATTGATTACAAATTTGATATCGATTGATGAATTGGGCGGGAGAAAATAGATAGAAGCACCGTAGAGAATGTCATGTGGCAGAAGGATGGTCTAAAAAAATGTCACGTTTAAGTGTGTAAATTGTACAAAATCCGCCAAACAACCAAATTAGATTAGCTTGATTGACGACTAATTTAATAATGCAACATTAAAATGTTCTTTTTCTTTAAGCTTATAAATGCATAAAACTTTTTTTTTATTGTTTGGGAAAAGTTTGATAAAAGGAAATAATTCTAAAGTCTCCGACATAAATAATAAATAAGGATTAATTCAAATTCAAAAATAGATTATTATGGATACGGATATCCATGTAACTTGTTGTTGAAGCATCGGCGGCACGACCATTCCAAGTCGATTGGGGCCTTGGGCGAAATAAAAAATGAGGCCGTTGGCAGTAATATTTTTTAGTAAAGGAGTGTGGTACCTTCGAAAATTTTATTAATTAAAAATAAGAAAAAACATCATAAATGGTCCCTGTGGTTTCCCAAAATCCGATGTTTAGTCCCCGTGGTTTAAAAACCTCATAGATGGTCTCTGTGTTTTCAAAACTTTTGACAGTTGGTCCTTATCCCTCACACCGTTAGAACCCCACCGTTAACTCTTATTTCATTAAAATGATACAAGGGCAAATCGGTCTTTTCACCTGTGCCCTCTTCTTTATAAACAAATGCATGTCTGATATTTTGAAAAA